TTTACGTTACACAGAGTTTCAATATAACTTAATTAAACATGACTAAGCTTTCTTTTGCGGCACACAACAGCACATACGTTTCGTATAAAATTCGAAGACTTTTTAACAGCACACGCTCGCGATTATCGATTCAACGAAACGGAAACGTCGCAACATCCTAAAAGACAACAATTAAAAGTGACCAGTGTCCGGAAAAATTGATTCGGCGCAAAATATTATAGCGGAAAAACTTCAGAAAGGAGACTCTACGCGTAATGTGCGCGAGAACACGCACACATTCGCAATTTAGTTCCATCGCCAAATTCGATCACCATAATATTTTGAGATAAAAAAACGTTCTATTTTTGATATAATAAAATATAAAACGATTATATTTTATTATATAAAAATATAAAAATTTTTTAACTTCTGGACACCTTTTATACATGTATATGTATGTATACGTGTACGAAATATATCGAGCCCCCAGAATAAGCGCATTTTTTTTATCTCATCGCTTTGATTACATACGATTTATCGTTTCTTATAAACTCAATGTTAATAAATACTATTACAAATCAGTTAGTAAATATACATATACACGCGATTTGGCCGTATCGTATAATTACGTTGCGAAAAATTTTAATTCAGCACGATTAGAAATAGAAATTAGCAATATATATATATATATAAATATATACATATATATTTATATATATATATAGTTGGCAATGGCAGTAGTTGGAAGAATAGAGATACATTTTGTCGCGAAGACTTCTACCGACTATCTCTCTTACTTACTTTCTTTCTTTTTATCTTTCTTTCTCTCTCTTTTACTCTCTTTTATAAATGTTCACAATACTAATAGATCACGATAAAAGTTTGTCAAATTTTACGAGACATCGAGAAAACCTGTACAAGAAACGACTCGTCACACTCGCGATTCTCTTGGCCTCAACGGCCTCGTACACATTTAACGGATAAACGGATTCAAGTACTTGCTGGATACACGATAAGTCGGACATTTTAACATATATATTATATATATTAGATATATATAAATATATATCCGAGGTACACGACACTTAACATTCTTAGCAAAATAAAATAATAAAACAAAAAAGCGTATGACAGCAATTAAGAGGTTTTAAAGCGGCTCGAAGTTCTTGTCAACTTCTCGTTACGTCTTATTCGTTTCTTTTTCTTTTTTTGTTTCTTTTGTTTTTTTTTTTTTTTTTTTTACGAGTATATCTCATGTTAGAACCAAAGATACACATCTCGCATTACTCTGGAAATATGAGACTTTTACCGCTCGAAGAGATTATTATTCTTCTTTCGCAGTTGTGTATAAAATCAATTTGTGTTTAAACATCTCGTGTTTTTTTTTTCAACTTCCGCGTATCGGCTACATTTGTATGTGACGCGACTGTAATTTCTTCTGCGACTTTTTTTTCATCAATTACGTTGCGATTTTGTTTGCATTGTATTGTATATCCGAAGGTAAAATTTATACACATAGTCGTTGTTACGTGGTAAACACCTTGAGGACCGACCGATGCGCTTTGCTCGCAACTCGGCGTTGTTCCCTACAAATGTTTTTTATGACATACATTTTACCGGAACATAAATTCGTATCCCTGATCCGTAGTAAGCGTTGGGTTACACAAGAACACAGAAATTTATGTTTCCGGTCCTCAAGATGAGATCTCAGTTTTATCTAAATTTCGAAAGACTCGAATATCTGATGTTTGTGAGTACATATGATCATAGATTGATGCAATTTTTTCTTTTGTTTTTTAATGAAGCAGATATACATGTGTACGCGTATAAATTGCCGGATGAATTAAAAGTTCACAATTAACATATAATCAATTTTAACTTTTAAAGCCTTCTTTTTAGGCTTACCCACTTTTTTCTTCTTTAATCGCGTCGGAAATAGTGTAATCTATACGATGATCCCTGATTAGTAATCCTCATATAAAATGGAATACTTTTTTTCTGCGTCGAATTTTACATACTCTTTAAAATTTTAGATTTGTAAACTCGTGTATAGAGTGGATAAATCTTTGGTTGCCCAAAAACATCTATTAATATGTTGTCGATTACTTTCTAGTGTAGTCTACATTTCGGTAAGGCAGAAGCCGTTTTATATTAATACTTCTAAGATCCTGAAATCTTAAATAATTGTGGCTCTACGTTGGCCACCTTTAAAAACCACCATTTTTATTTTTATAACATGTGAGCTATATATAATATAATCACATTTATAGTTTTTATATATTTTTTGAAGTTATATATCAATTTTTTTCATTTTTAGCAAAAATTAACACACATTTTAACTCTCTCACATATATATATATATATTTCCGTAATTATATATATATATATATAATCAAAAATACAAACACAAATAATTTGCATTATCTTGTGGCTTGTATTTATTAATTTATCAAACAATTTAAGTTCTATATAGAGTTCTATATAGAGGTTATATAGATATAAAGATATTTTTCTAATTATATTTCTAATTAATTAAAATAAATACTTTATTTTGCGATAAGTTATAAATATATATATAATATATATATATATAAATCTTATAGAATACAAATTCTAAGTTATATATGTGTAAATATATTTGAGAGAGTTAAGATCCGTAAAATTTGTTTTCTTGTGCCAAATTCTTATATAGTTCACTATTATAATACTTATCTCTGATCAGTGCTTCTGGATGCACCTTTATATAGAACTTGCTGGAGCACGATACGAAGACCAGGAATGTGGAACTTCTTGTTTACTTATTTGGCTTTGAGAAAAAAAAACTAATCCGGCTTCGTCGGAAGTCTCAGACTGACACAATAGCGAACAATTCAATCATCGTCGATAGATGACAATAGCAAAAAATAACTTTCAGTCGTTTAAGGTAGAAATAGGCTATTTTGTTTTAAGGATACTATACATATATATATATATATATGCATACTCGGGAAGAACATCAATCCAGTATATGTGATAAAATTCGTTACTCGCTTAATCAGAGTCCTCTTCGATTGGTGGAGGTAACATAGAGAGATGCTGAGCGCTGAGCATCCCTTTGGAAAGCGCATATTCCGCCAGAGCACGATGGCAAAAGACATACTGGTCTGGCATTTGAATACTGTAGGCCCTCTGTGCTCTGATTTTCTCGACAGTTCCTCGTATATCCACGGTTCCGGTGTCCTCCAGCCGCGATATGCAAATATCCAACGTGCAAAATGTACCTGGAAACGCGCCAGTTCAACATATATTCGCGCATCTAAATTTTTACGCTTCGCGAAGATGCCACCGTCTCATTCACGGTCATGATCTAAATTGCAATCTGAATTACACGAAGTATGTATATATATTTACCTGTCCTTCCGATGCCAGCGCTGCAGTGTACAACTATAGGTGGTCCTCGAGGATGTCCGGCCCATGTGTCTCCTCTGCTAGTGAGCAATTTGCTCTGTTGTTGTCTTACTAAAGACAAGAACTGCAATAAAGCTTTGGCCGACTGAGGTACACCGTAATCTGGCCATGCTGTGTACAGCATATGGCAAACTTCCCTCGTCTCATCAGTCTGAAATAAAATAGAAAAACATGTAAACACACACATGTAAAAATACACAAAATATAATAACTGAGAGAAAATGTATTATCGTGCCGCTACATACCTTATTGTTTGTGAGAAGAAGCATAGATATTGTATAATCTGGATTTGTATCAACTTCAAGAGTGGTCACAGTAAAACCACCCGCTTGTACTTCATCGCCCGCTTCCGGACCCCAGTACTGTGCGCATTTCGTGCGTCCTCTTTCCACAACTCTGAAATAATCGTGTTATTAATAAAACGAATAACGAAACGCGCGAGAAGTGGTCAAATATATATATACGAATATGTGCGAACAAAAAATAATTTACCTCGTGGTCATGACAATGACCAACGTTTGTTGTTCCCAAATCATCCTCCAGAAATCACCGCAAGTCTTCGGAAGTGGACCCTGAGTGCTAATAAACGCATTCTTCTGCTTGTAACCGTCGACAAAGTTCGCATTTATGTAATCGGACGTTGGATCCCCGTCCACTTGTGAAAGGCAAACTCTACTATGGTCGTAACAAAGCACATCGGTGTAGCGATTTTTTGATTGATTTGCCCTTAACCTGAAATAAACGACATTTATTAATTAACTCGTAAATTTGTGTATCGCGTGAACGCGAAATAGCGCATCTACGTACTTGGCATTATTAAATGAACCATCTGGCGGTCTCTGTCTAATTTCCGCATATTCCGCTATGAGGCCGGCGCGTCCTCGCGAATGTATGTCCGATATAAACTGTTCCATGGTGACGGCTTGCAGCCCCGGATCACCGTGGAGACTATCGTCGTCGCTAAAACCGGAGCTAGCTGAGGACGGAGGCTGAACTGGAGACGGTGCCTCATCGGTTCCCATCCAGACATCACCGTTCGAGGAGGTGGTGATTTCGATGTCGCCAATGTTTGACACGCCATTTTTCACCTGTTTATTCTTATCAATTATAGGACTAGTTGAACTACTATGTGTCGTAGTCCCATTGGGATTTTGTTGATTTGTGTGATTTTTCCCTGAAGGCGAGACGGGCGTACTGACTCTTGGGGTGACCTGAAAAATAAATGACAATACGCATATATTACTTGTTGTCGCAGAATATTCATAGTCATTCATGAAGTTTTTTCATTATTCACAAAAGAAAATGAACACATGCGATGAATTTAACGACTTTAAGCGCTAACCTCGCACAGTTCACCCCCGCCTCGGTTGGTCATGGATTTAAGACAATGAAGTAGCCATGCTTCATGCTGTATCTCCAACGTGCCGCCTAAACGATGTGGCAATGATTCCCGCGGGATATGTAATGTCAGCTGAGGAATAGACACTGTGAACACTCTATCTCTCAGTTTTTCACGAACGAATAATCGAAGGATCTTGAACGGCGCTTTGAACCACAATGGTGCCGTCACTATCAGAACCTTTTTCAATTTTGCCGGATAGCCACCCTAAAACAAAAAATTAAAAATAATTTGTAAAATTAATTTTTTGTTACGTAATTTATACAAACTAAGAGTAAAACTATTTTTTTAATTATCTTATTAATATTATAAACAAGTTTTTAAATCTGTCACCGACTTGTTAAAAAAAAAAATGAAGAAATTACGCTTTGCGCAATGTTTTTCTATTTTGTATATTTTACTTAAACAAAAAAAAAAAAAGATTCTAATTTCATTTTCTCGATAACAAATGCAAATGTTGAAAGTAGTTGCATATGTATGTAAACCGCGATCTAACACAAGTTACTTTCTACGATAGTACGGATTGCGCTTGACCTTTCAAAGACATTGCATTAATAGAACAACCCGTACCTATATTATTAAACATTAGCGAATTCGTTGCCAACTGTACGTGCGGAAAGAAAAACATTTTGCGCGCGCGTAAAAAAAAAAAGAAAACGTTTTTCGTTACAAACTTAATTAAATTCTCGTCGAAGAGAGATTGGAGTACTCAACGGACTCTTATCCTCATCTTTCATCCGTCGTGATTTCTCGCTCGTTAATTAACGAAATTGCTGCCGATTAACGCGAGACGATGCGAGCATTAGGCGAACACGAGCGAAGCCCGCGTTTCGTATTTCCCAGTTATTTTGTAACGCGTATGAAATACGGGAAGCCGAGTAACTTAACCCCCGGGGTGCCCAGATCAGAGGACGGAAGTACCGTAACGCCAACGACGTCAGCAGCAGCAGCAGCAGCAGCAGCAGCACCACCACCACCACCACCGGTAGAGCAAATACGTAACAGCCGCTACGTATACAACAAACGTCATCAAGATGCGAACGCGTAACGGGGACGAGACACACTGGCGCGATTTTGTTCCGGGAAGAAATCTCAGAAAGTTCCGCAAGAGCGAGGCGCGTATAAATTTAGTATCGCGCGCGACGAGCGGCGCAAATATAACGTCTCGAATTAGCCAAGTCGAACGTTATATGTTCCGGCCGCCGCTCCGCTATCTCCCGTTTGTTACGTCGAATCGTGGAAAAATCGCGTCGCACAATCGCGCATTCGTCGGTCGGTCGATCGACCGGGACACGACTGACGAATCGAAATAATAAATTTACCGTCAACAGCCGTTGCTGCGGGACGCGGCAGAAATTGCAGGCGAAATCGCAGGCGTGCAGATAGGCATATCAATCGCGGTATTGCCTCGTCATCGAGAGTTGCGGCGCGGAGTTGTTGTAAATTCGTCAAGCTCTCCTCTCGCCGATTTCTCGACAGATCGGGACGATCAGAATCCAGGAATTCCTGTCGTGATACAGTCGAAATCACTGCCGGCACTCGGTCAGTTAATCGATAGTGCGAGATTAGTATAACACCGCCGGGGACGCAACACTTGACGAGAGAAGCGTCTAGGGAACTTCCTCTTTATATCGTGCCCGTCGGGGTGAAGAAGGTGACGTCGGCCGTGGAACGAACACCGTTCACGGAACCTCGCACGCGAACAAGGACGCGATCGAACGAACGGGGGAGGCGAGAGAATCGGGTCGTTCGTTTCACCGCGTCCGAATGTAACAAGGTACTGCAAGGGGGTCACGATGATTACTGACCGCCAGCGTCGCGACGTTATCCGGAGCGCGAAGGGGAGCGCATGCGCCGCGCCGCCACTCGCCCGACACGCGACCCCTTCTTTTTACCACCGACATCCCTTACGTGAATACCTTCTTTTTTTTTTTTTTTTTTCACTGCCGGCAACGGAGGTGCAGCAACCGTGTACGCGTGATGACGTATTGCCCGCCAGTGACTCTCATTCGCGGTATCCGGTCGCCAACCGGAGCGTCAAAGTCAAATCGTTGGAATTCTCGATTACTCGGTTGCGGCTGAACATCTCGAAGGAGAAATACATAGGCCACCCCAACAAATGTAATTGAATCGATTCTCTTATCGACGCTAATGCGGAAATATATTTCTGCAGATATATTCAGTTCTGCAAATTCGATTGACCCTTCAATTCGAGATAGCAGGAGAATCTATGTGTATTATTGTTAATTAAACGCGTTCAAAACATTTTGTTGTGATTCGGTGACGTCGTATTTTAAATGCACTTCCACGGGCGTGCTTTTGCGTATCGAAACAAAATTACGGATTTAAATGAGAATGGCAGAACGTAAGATAACAGCGTTACGCGAGTTATCAGTGGAAAAACTGCATACCGAGCCATCAAATTTGACCATTTATCATGCGCCCGACGGGAGATATGTGAAGCAATTTGCGCGTATCGCGATGTGCATGCAAATGTCACTGCGCACACCGAAACCTTTATAAGAGTGGTCGTCGTCGTCGTCGTCGTCGGACGAGCACCTTGGAAGTACGGTTCACCGCGCGATTAGAAACCCGATTAAGTTGCGCGGTGCGTGAAGGTCTTTCACACCTTTGCGCTCTCTTTCGATAATGAGCGCCGATAATATCACCTCGGGAAAAACCGATAATCGGCGACTCCCTCCTCGTGTTATTAACCACCGCCTCCTCAAGTTATTTAATGTTTTTCATTATTGCGTCAGTGATATCATGTACGTCATAAAGTCTGTGCATGCACTTTATGACGTTATATGAGGGAGAGGAAAGTTTCTTCTAGAAAACCTTTGAAAGTCACCCTGCACGCGACACGCCCCGTACGTTTGACGCGCTTCGTCGCTCAACTGCAAATCCACTTTTCGCGAAGCGAATGAACACACACACACACACACACACACTCCTCCTACACTTTGTTGCTATTTGAGCTAGCGCATCCTAAAAGCTGATTCAGATTTTTTGCGGTTTGTCAAGAAGTAAGAATCCCAAGAAACGAGACAATTAACGAAGCAATCAAGATCTTGCGTACATCTCTTAAAATATAGAATTTGTATAGAAAAAAATTTATAAAACAAAAATGAGAAATTTCTTGCAATTGGCCACAAAGAGCAATTGCTCAATCGTCGTCAGTCAAGTTATGAGAATCGCCGATTACGTAAAAGTCGTCGGAATAAAAAGTCGTGATCATACTCGAGCCATGGACGGTAAAAAGTGACGCACGTGAAGGGGCCGGTGAGAATCAGAATACATCGTATATGACACCATTTTTTACATAAGTGGGGCTGACCGCATCAAAAGCATTAACGCACAGAGACTATTTCGACCGACCGGCGATGACTAATTGGGTTAACTTCAGCGACGGTAATAACTGTAATGCCGCTCCGCCGGACGAAATTGCACACAACGTGAATGTTAATCGGGCCACGCATTTAGACGTCGCTGAAGGCACTTTCGTGCTCACGTAATTCGCATAATTATTTCGCTTTTGTCGAGAGAAATTTTTCATGAGTGCAGAAAGAAAACAAAAACGTACATACATATATATATATATCATTCTATTCGTTACACGCTGCAATAAAAACACAAATGTACACCGCCGTATGTAACCACGTTTTGCAAATGTGTAATTGAAAAAAATACGTACGAGACAATTTCTAACATTTTTCTAGATATTTCTACAAGTATCATATATTTATTTTCCACATTTGTGTAGTCTTTGAAGAACAACTTTCTTTCGTGCATCGGACGACATTTATAGATGACAGAGCACCTCTGTCACGTTGACGGCGATAGAGAAATGAGATCGTACATCACTACATATACATAATGGATATTCGCCGCAAGAGACTCGCTCTCCTCTCACTCTCGACCACGATCTTTTCTCGCTTTCTAACCCCGCTTGGCAGCGGTGCTCCGCTTCGCACGGACGAGCGCTTAAATCACGTCGCATCGTAGAAATATTACGCATATTTCGAGAGAAAACTACGTGCAAATCGATGTGTAATGCGCAGAGAAAATATCGATGATATTGTCATTTTTACATTTCCGACCCGATGAAGTGTCTGACGTGTCTAACGAGCAAAAAGAATTGAAAAAGGAAAGAAAAAAAGACATGATTCTGCGTTCAACACGTTCTCGTGCGGGCAAGTTCGCAACAGGATGTCGAGAAATTCTTTAATGTATATTATATTTTCGCGGGAATAAACGGAAATAGACTTCGCGCTTCTTGATTATTTAGGTAAGTCACGCGTAGTTGATGCTCGTACATTCTTGGGGTACATGAATTTCTACTCGCGCTTTTGAGATTTCTCAACTTCTTTTCTGAGATTTCCTAATAACTTATCTTATCTCGCACATACATTCATCCTGCGTTTCAGATAATCATCTGACTTGACACATTACTGATGTTTGTTTCTTTTTTTTTTTTTTTTTTAAAGAAAATACAACCGTTAACTTACCTTTAAGAGTGTCAGAATTTTCTGAGACAGGTCATAGTCGAAATTCTGATACTTGCTGTCGGACATGTCATAAATAAAAACTAGACCGTGCTTCTGCGTTTCCGCGCTTTCCAGAGCGGCATCTAGCTGGTACACGACACCCTGAAAAAACAACGTTACACAGCTTGTTTTACTATGTTAATATGTAAATCTTTTTCAACTTGCATATTTTTCTGAAGAGAAAACGAGAAATATTCGTGAAACACGTACAAGAAAATTGTATATTTTATGAAAAATTTGTAGATTTTTTCCGTGAGATTTTCTTACCTGTAGAGTTGTTTGATGCGTGGTGTTTTGTGGAAGATGTAAATGCGCTGTAAAAATAGCTATCGCTGCACCTGTTGCATCTCTCGATGGCTGAAATAAAGTTGTGCATTACATTAATTGATACGTCCTCTTTTGAACCGCCGCCGCCGCGCAGCGGTATCTTATCTAAGACAATTGAGCGTGCGTGTGTAATTAGTCTCTTTTAACTTACCAGGACAGTAAATTTTCCTGTGCGTAGTTCACTGAGTAAGGGTTCCTGAGTAGGATGCAAAACTGCTAGTCCCTCTCTTCTTCTGGTGGCTTCGTGCTGCTCGTACAGAGCTAAAGCTCGTTGAACCTCAAACTTTCGCGCCGCTAAAAATTTCACCGCCGTGCTCCACGATACTGGCCCGGCTCGTCTGCCGGCTCTGCACTTGTTCACAGCTTCTATAAACTCCTTCGTAGCCTAGAAAATATCAATCACGCATGTATCGAACGTTATTAAATCCGTTTTATTATAAACAACATATACGTGTTTTATTAACATATTTTCTCGATTAAATTTTCACACAAATGAAAAAAAAAACATATTTAAATGTTATTAAAATACTTCTTCAGCGTTTCAAGAAAAAAAGCATTCTCTTTTTTCCTATCGCTATTCATATCGCGGCCGCAAAAGGAGAGACCAAGTATATTCTGCGAATAAAGTTACCGACTTCGCGTTACTGAAATCACTTATTGGGCAACAAAATTCCAGTCATAATCGCTCGGCATCTTGCACAGATATAGTTGCACAACGGCTAACCTTGAAAATGGCGCTTTGCGCTAGTGGCGTGCGAGCAGGAAACGGTGAATTACAATCTTTATCAGCGCGACCCGATCGATGCGAACGCAACATGTGCATATCTCGATTGTTCGTCGGGTCATCAGTTCGTCACACGTAACCCCGTTGCGTTAGAGAAAAAGAGAAAGAGAAGATGCGGGAAAGAAATAGAAAAAGAAAAAGAATTGCATTTTGTGAAAGAAGATATAAATTTCAATCGACTTCCAATTTCGACGATGCAAGCATTTCGGAAACAATATCCGCGTCTATTCACGACGACGGAAACGCGACGACCGCCCGCGACGGTCTATTTTTCCGTTTTATCAGCAGCAACGCGGAAATCGAACTCGCAATTGAAAATTACACAGCGCTTTTATTTCCGGCAATCGAAGTTCCCGGAATTCTCTCGTGCGCGCACACACACACACACACACACACACGCTCGTATACGTATCGAGCGAAGAAAGTATATCGAAATTATATCGAGCTGCGTTCTCGAGACGATAGAAAAAATGAGACGGAGAAATGACATCGTACAGTAGTTGCCGATATCGTCGGCCGTGCATAATGGCCGCGATATCATTTTTACACTATTAAAACGTGCAATGACCGTGGCAACGACGGTGCCGTGTATTCGTGTGCGTACACACGCGCCGGCTATATTGCCGATACAACTTCCGGTGTCCGGCTACCTCCCCACCGGCCATTTCCGCTGTATAGCAGCCGGCGGGGACCGGCACGGTAAGTGGTATAGGTCGACGTGTGTGTGCGTGTGTGTTGTGTGTGTGTGTGCGCGTCGAGAGAGAGAACCGAGGAATTTAATACCACAAACTCTCTTGATATACATTTCTCTGCAGAGCTGTTTTTAATGCGCGAATCGCTCGCGCATTTTCATCGCGCTGCACAAACGACGAACGAACGCGACGCGAACAAAACGGTATATTTGTTTCACCGCGATATTATTTCCTTTCCGCTACGCGCCATCGGACGAATTTACCGGTTCGGTGAGATTGAATTCAAGTGAGGCCAAACGCACGAGTATAAATTTATTAAACATTCTATCGTAATAATAATAATAATAAAATTAAACAAATTGTTACAGACTGTGATAAACAAAATGCAATGAGTGATGATGTTGCAGTGTGTAATAATTTATTAATATTATAATGTGTGTGAATGTTATACAATTATTGATGACGACAAGAAAAAATTTATAGAAATATACCGACTTCCTTTCCGGAAATTTTTTGCATGAATGTCTGTCCTTTAAGATATTACGCGAGAATTACAACACATTAAACCACGGTCAAGTGGTCAAGTTTCTCAGATGAATGACTGCGTCGACACGCAGAAAGGGTCAAGGGGTCGTTTTAGCGCGGTGTTAATTAATCAAAGCCGTGTAATCGATCCTTAACGAGAAAATAGAGGAGACCGTTTTTATTAAAACGCGATTAATGTTATTTATCTACCCGTCGTGTAACGAGGGCTCGTTTGCTAAAAATATATAGCAACTCTCCGCCGCCAGACGGAAATTTAACACCGCAAATCGATATGCTGGAAATTCTCCTCGTTACTACGGGAGGAAGCTTCTCTCTCGGCGGCGTAGCTTTTTTTAAAAACGAGTTCGCTTGTAACCGAGAGAATTCGTTAAGCGAATTGAAAATTATTCGCGTATTGACGCCGCCGTCGGCATTAAACAGTTTTAAACACCGCGTGTGCGTTCTCGGATACATCATTTTGAACTTCTTGAAATTCTAAATAAATTGAATCGATTACACACTTTGTAATTCTAAGATGTCGCGAAGTTTCCGTCAACTTATTCGCGAAAGAAATTAGAAGAAGAAAAACCTTATCGAGCGCGCGCGATTAGAAGCGTTCGTTATCGCGTTCGTTTCGACCGCGAATCTTTCGCGTGGCATTCCGAACGACTCGCCGGGTATTAAAGATCGGTGTTGAATTTTTAAGCGGCGGAAGCGCACACAGGAATAGCACGCGCATATCGGCGTCACCGCGCGCTATCGACTCGGGCCGCGCCGCCGTCGTTCGATAGCCGGTTTAAAATAGTCAAAATTTCCCAATCAAAACGCGTGGGTGGTAACCGAAAGGACCGGAAACAAGGCTCGTTTATTGACATCGCGCCTCGTTAAAAAACCGTTCGTGTTTCCGGCGGAGAAACCGGAGAGAGATCGCACCGGCGATCGGTTCGTCGAGCGCTTAAGCCCGCGCGATTTTGTTGATCTCTCGATCGTGTCATCGAATCTCCCTCGATACGCGCGTATATACCAAATTGCGACATTAAAAAACGTTTCGGAAAGAGATGACGATTTCCGTGGCGTGTTCGCGATCGCTATCGCGCTCTCGGAGAGAAAGAGAGAACGCGAGATGATAATACGCGCGAGAGAGAACCTGACGCGCGAATAAATGTTTACATTTTTGCGAGCGCGCAAAAGTAAGTTACGCTCGCAATGCCGCCGAATTCGATTGCGATAATTTTTGCGCGAGAGCGACAGATAAGCGCCGATCGCGACCGATAAGAAAATTTTGTTCGATTATTCGGTGCTTACAACAGGTAGCGGAAGTGTTTGCGCGCATCGCGCATTTCGCACCGCGCGTCGTTTCCCCCATTGTAGCGATTAAAAACATGAAAGAGATATCGCGTTCTCCGCGGAGGCCCACTCGCGGGGGGAAGTCGCGGAAAATCTTAGCGCGCGCGCGGGCCCTCTCCGCGGGGCCCTTCCTCCCCCGCCCGCGAAAAGGTTTCCTCTATTCCGAGTCGCGAGATTGGGACGCGCACAGATCTCTACTCACTTGTTCTTGCTCGACGGTTAATGTGGCTGCCATTTTGGCTCAACACACTGACATGCCCGAGTTGTGTAGCACAGAAGCAAGCGCAGCGCGGTCGTGTTGCTTGTTATTTCCAGTCCCGGCGCCGCGTACGTCTATCCACGGGTGCGAACATCGCTCGTCAATTCGAGCCGTCGCCCGGCGCGTATCTCTTCCTCTCCCGACTATAACCCCCTCGAGACGTAGCACTTGGATCCTCAGAGGACACTACTACCACCCGCGGTGGTGACGACGAGCGGTAGCGACAAACAATAAATCATCCCGGCGCGCGCCCATTGTCCCGTACCGCAGCCACTCAGACGCGATTGTGACACACGCTTCGCCTCGGCCCCGATCCTCTTCCCTTCGACGCACGCGCCGCCATCTTGAAATCTGCGCGCGCGCGCGCGCGCACACGGGAATCGGCGCACGCGTGTTTCACCGCGCCGCGTTATATCTCTCGCGCGCGGTTGTTTAAGCGACACAAATTGTATATATGTATACACAAATCTTTATTTAATAAATAAGAACATGCGGTGTTTTTAAATCACGTCTGTGATATGATTTAGCGCGAGCGTGTAATGACGCTAATATCTTCATTCGCGACAACACCGACGCTTCGAATGCAAGTTTTTATCGGATGTAGGTATATATACATACATACTTGAGTATACTCAATTAAATGTTTTTGTTTTACATACGTACTTGAGTGTACTCAATTAAAATGTTTTTCTCGTTGCTAAACACACGTGTTGATTTATCGGACGTGTGTGTGCGAGAACACGACTTTTTTACGTTTTTTCCAATAATCAGTACACAAAGAAATATTGATTGACAGATGGGAGAAACGATTCGATGTGTAATCAAGTGTTTTTGCTGGCATATTTCTCTTAATTAAGATCCAATCCTCACTTATTCCGTGTTTTTCCCGACAGATTCCCGCTCGATGTAAATATTTTATTACGCCGCGAATCAGGAAATAAATGTCAAATGAATTTTTGCAAATTAACAAAAAAACTGAGCTCGTGTCTCTATAAATCTAGGTAATTCTGTTTTTTTTTCTTTTTTTAAATTACGTCGCTGACGGATGTCTCAAGGATTGGGAGGCCGCGTTGATTAAATTAAAAACACCGACGTGTTTTTTGTAATATAAACATTTTTCTTATTCAAACGTATGTTCTTACATTTACACAGTACAAAAAATTATACTCAGACCTGCCGGCCCGCGGTTCATAACTGCTATGACTGGGGGCGGCCGGTGGTTGTAGGAGCGGGGCATAGGAGGGTTGTAGGTAGCGCGGGACTTTTTTTTTTTTTTTTTTTTTTTAGGGATGGGATAATATATCTCGTGTTGGATTTTTCGAAGATCTGTACATAGTTTTTATACCATCCATTCCACTCCGCCCCCAATACACGGCCCTTGGTTCTCTCTCGTTCTGTTCACATTTTCACCGGTTTTTCACCAATCACGCACGCAACACGCAACACACTCTTTTTCTCCTCTCATTCTCTCCACTCACGCACACACACACACACTCTCTCTTTCTCGCTCACTAAAGCATGTTTAAATCCTCCTTCGATCTCTTCTGTATTTTTTTTTGTTTTTAATGATTTACACTCGCACGCTCGTGCTCGTACTCTTCTCGGCATATTTAGCAACATTTAAATATCGTATTTTTTTTTCGTAATAATTCCGTATAATTATATATATAATGATAATGTAATAATTATAATAATGGCATAATAAACTGTCTACCTATGCGTGTAAGGTGTAGGTTTTTCTTCTCGTGTCTCGTTAAAGGTCGTGTGTACTCTCTTCCTTAGTGTTACAAGTCCTAGACTTCTCTTTCGCCTTCTCTCTCGTATTTATATGTAATTTTTTTTTTTTTTTTTTGTATACATATATACGGATGTATATAAATGTATGTATATATATACATATACACGTAGCAAGAGAACAAACAATAGCGTCTTGTCTGCAGCAATAATACACAGAAATACGTCTTTTCTATAGAACTTTATACACCGCCGCGTTGTGGAGTTAGTACTTTTGTTATTGTTGGTTTGTGTTTTTTTTTTTTTTTTATAGCTTACACAATTCCCATATATATATATTTATATATATATATAATCATTACTTATATCAACACTAAGATATTTAAAAATTTACTCGTTAAATATTTAATCAAGTCGTTGTATGCTAGACGAATGTTGAGATCAAAGAAATTGCGGATTCCAGGATGCCAGTGATTTTTTTTGTTTTTTTTTTTTATTCTTTTCCGTGTTCAATCCATTTTTTTTTTTTTTTTAATTTACTTTTACTTCATCTTGTGTCATTTATATCAGCCGTAAATAGACGACCACATTGATCGGCGCGAGAATGGCGCATACCGACGCCTATATTCGATCCGAGACCTGCTGTCGTCAGCTGTCGCGCTTATAAATACTTGAACGCAAAAATACCGAGAGAAAACTTTATTTCATCCTATTCTCTTTCACTTACGCATGTTAAACAAAAATAGCAAAAAAAAAAAAAAAATAGCAAAAATAAAACTGGAAGCAACAGCAGATTTCGAATCATCAATGACGATGCAAAAGACGGGGAAGAAACCCTTCTCTCGTCGTTTGCACAAATCATCACGAAATGATAGGAACACTCGGCCTGTCATCTCTCTCTGCGCATTCTGCGCGATTAAAATTTTTTTTTTCTCCTTTTTGTTTTTGTTCTACCTACGCGTAAACGACGCACACAACCCCGCGCGCACACTTAAATGTCACGTCATTACTTCAACATTGGCACTTCGAAAGTCGTTATTTTTGTTATCTTGTTTCTCTTAAGCGTCACCACAAACAATTTTTATTTACCAGTTAGCATCTCGTTACATTAATACAATTATCGTTACATTAACGCTGTCTTTTTTTGTTTTCAGTTTTTCATCAATCAGACACAGATGGCTTCTGTAATAATGTGCTTTGACAAAAATAACATTTATTTTCTTAGTATCCCTATTTGTTACACGCAGGGTAGTAGTCACTGGGTTACGACAGCAATGAAACACACGTTTATAATTCGACGGTCTATTTCCATCATATCCGCCATATTGTATTTCGGAAAGTTAATATCGAAGAAGTTATTTTTTTCTTTTTTGGTTCTGATGAGCCTTATTTATAATCGAAGTGACATACAAAACTTGTAGCACCCCTGCCGCTCATAATAACCGATACATAAGTCGCCGTGCAGAATAATACGTCTTCGCAACGAATGTCGCTTCGCGAACGATACAAATGGCCTATTTAAGGTGCGAGAAAGATTTGTCGTTTTTTTTTATTTTTTTATTTTTTATTTTTATTTTTTCATTGTCGTCGAACCGATTAGGCAGTGTTTCATATTTCTTACAGTCTGTCGCATGGAACATAATAAGAAAACCTAAACGCGAATACGTATCGGCTATCTCTGGCCGGGGCTTTGACGAAATACCGAAAGCACCAGATCACCAGAGCACACGAATAAATGAATTCACATTTACCGCTGGATCAGCTAGAATAATTTGGTTATCAACATCTAATTGCACAAAGGTATGTTCTAGACAACTTGTTTTTCTTTCTCTTTCTCTCTCTCTCTCTCTCGTTCTCTCTCTCCCTTTCTCTCTTTCTCTCTCTCATTCTCCTTTCGATAGTTGCTAGCAAAAATTCATTACACAATATCTCAATTATCTACATTTATATAATATAGACAGTGTGTGTATTGGATACAGGCACAATATAATTAATTACAAATAATGTATACAATCCAAAGTCCTTCTGTTATCACAATATTAATGGACGCGGCGTTTTTCTTTTTTCTTTTCTTCTACCTAAGCGCGACCCAACCCACAATTGTTTTCTTCGTAGTTCAATCGTAGTAGAGCTCGTCGGACTTCATGTCCACGGGTGCCTATCTCGGAGATGAAATGCGGGAGAGCAAAAAAGATATTGTGCATATAGGAGAAATCGGATGAAACAATGAGTAAAACTAATGGTTTATTGGCTCAGCCAATGTATCGTGAATTAAATCTTTCGATTAGTCGTCAATATCACAACATATTTCCGCACCTCCCGCGACTACCTTTTCGCGGCCGAGGGGCGATTCTCTGCAAATCCTCCAAGTCTCGTCGGCTGAAGGGAGCACCGGCAACGGTTTTATTCTTCTTGTCCTTCGACGAGACGAATTGATCCCAATCACGGGATGGACTCGAAAGTGTTCATCTTCATCTTGCGACTTTAGGGCTACGTCTCTTCCTTCACCTTCGTCTCGTTGTTTGCCTTGGCGAGTTTGGCGAGAGTCTCCTCCTTGACATTGGCTAGAACGGTCAGAGAGTCCTTCACGGCGTGGTAAATGATATTCTTGATCTGGAGCTTGTCTTCGTGATTGGTGTGCGTGTCGGAAAGCGCACGGAATTCTTGCGTCAGATGGAAACAATGCGAAACGTTTTCCGGCGATACAAAGTCCTCGGCTACTTTTATGCAATTGTGAAGATTACGAACTTGATGCGGCGCACCAGCTGGCACAAATACTGCGTCGCCTAAACACTGGACGATGGCATATCTGCAATAAAATATTGAACAACATATGTTACAATATTAAAAACAATTAAATTGTTAAAAGTACAAATAAATCCAAATAAAGATTTCGCGTTTCAATTTTAATTATTTGACATAAAGATCATATACGTGAAAGAGGATACACTTACCCTTCGACACCGTATTCTCGATACAATCGCTCCCGTAATGGTCCATCAAGATAACAACTTTGATCGTGTATGGGATCGTGATGTGGCTCCAAGCGAGCTCCGCGTTCTAAGGCAACAGCATTCAGAAGGTCTCGGATTTTGTCTGCGTCGCGCGCCGCATAAATGTGCCACAAAGCACCAGGCGCCTCGCCGCGATCGCGAACACGTCGACGCGTCAGAATATCACAGCCTGCTTCGTCTATCGCTCTTAACGCTTCTGCAACAACGAGAAACATTTCAATGAAATCAATTATAAAAAACGTTATCATCTCATCAAAAAAAAAAAAAAGCGTACTGTATAAACTGATGTGAAACTCGATTAATTAGTCACGTAATTAAACTTGCAGATGTAAATACGTACCTTTAATGTGCTCGTCACTGTCGGCGTCCTTTGGAATTCCCACATATACCATAACATTCACGGCGTCAGAAATATCAAGATGTAGATTAGTTGTGCCTTTGTTGGAATGAAGAGCGGAACCGTAAGCGTTATACATCTTTGGACCCAGATCCGGCCTCACGAAACAATTGGGCAGACGACTCGCGAGATTCAATCTGCCGTTTCTGTGTGTGTATTCTGATAATGGAAGAACCTTCATCAGATCCGTGAATCTCGACGGCAGCAGTTCGGCAAAGTCCTCGCCCGGTGGCCAGTCCTTGAGTTTCAGCAGCATTGGATTCCCACGCTCATCTTTGAGACGTTTCGAAAAGTTCTCGAATCCCTCCCAGAATTTGCGCATCGGCTGATTCGGTACCAGATTTCCGGTCATGCAGTTGATAAGATCGTTTTTCTCATCGCCAAAATCGCGTGCAAATGAATCCGGGTGCCAGAGATTCACATCCAACGCTTTGGCGACGTCCGACACGATTACCGGCTGTCCTCGTTTCCACTGATCCTGGAATATTCGATAGTTATTCGGATTGTTGGGATCGTTCAATTTCAACAGCTTGCCGTCGCACAACCACGAGTGCGGCACATCTGGGTAGAGACTCTTGCTCTCGGTCAAGGTCATGATTCTGATTGGTAATGGCTCTCGGCCCGGCTGCGTCCATTTATAACGTCGTACAAAATGCTTCAATTCCCGAGGCTTTTCATCATCCAAACCGCTGTCCTTTTCTTTCTTCACGCGATGCTCGATTACGCTGGATATCACCTCGTCGAGCGTATCCATCTTCGACTTCTTGCCGGATTTGGCGACGTTGTTCTGCACAGCGTTATTGCTAGCGCCAGTAGTATTCGCGTTACCGCCCGTATTATTCGTGGGCGAATTAGATCTGGAACCGCCGCTACCATTCGCCTTGTTCGATTTAGTGAGCAACTCTCGCAACGTCGAGTAGTTACCCTCGCGATCCTCGTCAGAATCCGAATCCGAGCCGCTATCGTTCTTGTCCTGATTTTGCAACGCCACGTCTGCCAGCCAATTTAACGGCGAGTTTTTGTCCTCTCCGTTGGTCTTGCTCTCCGACGCGCCATTGGACTCATTTATCTTTTTCTCCTCTTTCAGTTCTTGCTTTATATTTCCATTGAGAACGGGGACCGAATCACCTTTGATTAAATTTCGTAGAATTTCGTTGCACGACATTCGAGTTACAAGAGAGCAAGCGCAGTGCTGCGGAATTCCCCATTCTGCGCGACACTCGTGCAGACGCTGGCCCAGACGCAAGAGACTATCACCGGCGATGATTTGCGTGAGCATCAATCGCTCTGGTTCGTGCGCTTGTTTATTCGTGCAAAGAAGCCACGAGAAGTCGTCCCGATCCTTGCCACTCTCACCCCAGATTTTGATCGTGCCATTTTTGCGTCCCTGTGTAAATGTTTAATTTTTGATTTCGTGAATATACGCTTCCTTGTCTTTTAGATTTAAAAAAAACATACATTTCTTTGTATTAACGTCAGTGTTAAAAAGCTCGTAAAAATATTTCATCACAAAATATATGGTCAAATTGTTTTTTCATCATTTTAATAAAAGAATATTTAGCGTTTTATTTAAAAAAAAAAAATTCAGTGCGACATCTCACCTTGTAACAATCGATGCACACGACGAATCCGCACTTGGCGCAAGCCCAATGATAATTGAACAAGGTGGTCTCGCATACGTCGCACATCTCACGAACACCCTGGATCACTCGTTTCCACGCTACCGTTCCGTCTACAATTCCCGAACTCGCTGTCAAAAGGTAACCATAATCGATGCGCAAAGCGTTAAAAACATGCGAACAAAATAAATTATGCAAGCAACCATGCAGCTTATTTAATTGTGTGTGTTATAAACGTAAATCACACTGGAATATATTTGGAACGAAGTGAAATAGATCATATGTGTAACCATATATTTCTTTTGTTACGTATATATGTATAACATGTATATAAAATCGTAATTAATTTCGAAAAATATGAATGTTAAAAAATCACATGTAAATTGACTAACTATTAACAATGAAAGGATCTTAAATAGAGCACATGCAATTATTTATGTATATGTGCATGTTGTTGATTTATTTACATTGATGATATTTGCATTAATTAGTATGAAAAAGATGAAATTTCAATGTCTGCCAATATATGCTGTGGCAAAATGTGTTTTATATAACCTAAAAAAAAAAAAAACAAAAAAACAAAAAAAAAACAAAATGTTTACCTTCAGCCATATGTTCTTGAAGAGCATCCTTTTCTTGATGTAAAAGATCGCAGAATTGATCGCCAACTTGCTGTAGCAGACGATGAGCCATTTCCAAGTCTAGATCTTCTCGGTCTTCACTTTTGTCCGATTTATCGTCTGTTTCCGTGTCTTGATTACTTTTCCCTGGCAACCATAATCGAAGATCTTCCTGTAACATTGTGTAATTGTTGCGTAAGAGGATTACAATTTTTTTTTTTTTAATATTACAAAGTTGTTTTGATCATCTCTTGCGAGAATAATTTACCTCGGACGCATCCTTGTGCGGGTCACTGAATCCTGCTATGGCCAATTGTCCGTTTTTGGTGTAGCGCAATCTGCGAAACGCGTAAAATCTGCAGAAGATGTTTTGGGAAAGACTCTTGGAGCGTTGGTGCGGCATCCATCGACATTCACGACACTTGGCCAGCCTCGATGCTACCTCGAAACAGGCGCCGTCTTGCAAAAAACTCTCGCCGGTTTTTTTCAATTGCGACACTGGTGGTTTGCGAAAGGGACGTTCGCCACTGCCGCCCGGGCCATTGTTACCTCCGTTCGAGCTGTCGTCTCTGCGTTCCTTTTTTTGACGAGGTTGTTGATCATCACCTCCTACATCATTACTCTTCGTAGTCTTTGGTCTCCTACCACGTTTCCTAGGTTCCTTGTTACTTCCTGTACAACATTGTTATATCTCGCTTCATCAAAAAAGTTTAAGCTGTTGCTACGATTTTTACGTGATTAGTGCAAGTCAGTGTTAAAAAGCTCGTAATACTATATCACGTTGTCAATTAATTTTATAAGTTATCATCATATCTACATGATAGTAAATATACTATATGTGTACATTAGCGTAATGATATATTTAAGGAACAGGGTAAGTGCGTGAGAGATCGAATTATTGGCTGCACTTCAACGGACTAAACAACTGAGACATCACTTTCTGCTTGTTGTCTGTGATTCGCCTATTCTTCTAAATCTGTTACAGATGTAAAAGTACATGCCAGTCACAGACAGTAACTGCAAAACAATGTATCAACTGTTGAATCCACTGAACGCAGCCATTGACTCAAATCAAGTGATGAACTCGAAAACAAAACATATAAGATCTTTCCAAGAGCTTCACAAATTTTCATTTATCTCTTAAGTAAAAGTACAAGTGTTCTACGACATTTAAATATACGCGATCTGTTTGCCATTCTTAAATTCTCGAGTTCTCGTACAAGCTCTAGAAAAGGAATAATCGTACGATCATGGAACACGGACCACTTACCCTGCAAGTGAATAGTTAGTTCACCTGACGGGAAGTCCATTTACAAGAAGCTAACTAACCGTTTCCCGACGAATTGTTGGAATTAGCCGTAGTGTGTCGAACCCTGGACGTTGGTTGAATGGAGCTCAACTGTTCGCTGGTGTCACTCGCAGAGCCTGCCTCGCTCTCATTGCTGGACTCGCTGCCTGGACCAGCTCTGCTACCCTGCTTGTCTTCTTTTCGCCTCCGCTGATCTTCGGCGGCTGTTTGTTGCCTCCGTGGGGCTCCCTTCTTTCGTTTTACCTACCACAGGGTACAGATTATTAAGTAGTCAGGAAGTTCATGCTCTTGCCGCATCTACTAGCCGAAGCTACTAATCGGCTATACTACTGCTCCCAGCGCTACTATCCGCTATATAAATCTAAAAAATATCTATACTTAAACAATCTACTTAACTCTCTAAGCAGTTAAAAATTACATAGTGCTATTGTAAATAAAAATAAAGCATCACAATGTATTTTAGATTTTGTCACGCATTTGTACACACATTTTATCATATCTACCAGAGAGAAGCCTGAGAGCGGCCATGCCATTGTAGTTTCTTACAACGGTTTCAGCCGCTGGGGTTTTAGCCGTATTTCCACAAAAGTGGAACTCAAAGGCCGTTCTACATTAAACGCAAGTATCAGATCTCGTGGAATTGACCAATTGCAGAGTCAAATCAGCCAATCGACCAACGTGATTGATCAGTTCCACGAGACCTGCGACTTGAGTTTCATAGAGAACAGCCTTTGAGTTTCACTTTTGTGGAAATACGGCTAAAACTAACGGTTGAAACCGTCGTAAGAAACTACAATGGCATGGCCGCTCTCAAGGCTTCTCTCTGTATCTACAAAGAGAAAGACTACTGCTATTTACTTAGAAATTATAAAATTCTTTTTTTTTTAACGCTTTTACTTCAAAAAACATTTATAAAATCTTATTTTATAAAATCAAATTTAAAATATTAACTCTGGAATGCTCACACACTGGGGTGTTTTCTCGCAACTTCACATTTACTTTTTTGGCTTGTACAACAATGCAACAGGTGATGTTTTATATCATGCAACTCCGAGAACTGTGTTTAAGTCAAAGCAGAATTAGACAATTACGTTTTTTACGATAAAGATTTCAAAAGATCTTATTCAATTTTTTTTTTTTTTTTTAATCCTCAACGTACTCTTTTCGATACTCTTAAAAGAATCGTATGTATAAAATATCTAATGCAACATTCATGTGTGCATAAATTATTCGCACGTATAATTTAGTCAAATTTTGATTATTCATTATTCCAGCACTGTAATTTCAAACGCATGCAAACGATGTAAGTCAATTGAGCTGGAAAATCGAGACTACTGTGCGAAAGTTTTCGATCCACGCCACACGAAATAGAGGTTAAGTCGCGCACGCGACAACGCGATTGACGAAATTTCGTAAGAAATCAAAGATATTTACCCCTTTGCAGTGTTCGTCCATTGTGAGACTCATTGTTGAAAAGTGAAACTCGACTTTATTCAAACGAATCTTGCGTGAGAACGAATAAATCGACCACTAGTACTGGATACGTGACAAACGCGCCCGTACAATGTCCGTTAGCTTGTGATTCATACATGCATCACGTAGAAAATGGCGCATTCCTGCGCAGTATTTGAACTTGACCACTGCGCAACATGCGTTTAGATTACGTTTGAAAAATCTAACCGGAAAACCAACCGCAGCAACGTTTCAACCGTAATATTTGAAAGTACGCATATTTTATACGCACATTTATATAATCAGTTTGAAAAAAACGTCGTAATAACAGCGACGTGACGGAGTAAAGTTTTTTATATTCGTTTTTTTTATATTATTTATATTATTATTTTTTAATATTATTTTGATATTACTTTTATTACTTTATTGTGTGAAAAAAATTATTGTTCTCGAATCTTAGATTAAATGTTTTCTAAACTTCTGCTTTAAATTTCACTTGTTTCGAATTTTCTTCAAAAAGTTGTGTAATCAAAATAAAAATAAAAAAATCTAATAAAATGTAATTATTGCATTCTCACACAATTAGTGATTTTTATCTCATTGTGTGTTGTCAAAAAAATTATCGCATAAGGTGCTTTCCGGTACACAAGCGACGCTGTGTAACACAGTGTCCACTGGTATAAAGTGAGACACACTGATATGCTCTTTTTCTCACACTAGTAGAGACTGTGTTACACAGTGTCGCCTGTAATACGTTAGCTGGAAAGCGCCCATATTTATTTGCGATGTGACACTTTCTTGGAAAGAACTAAGAGAGAACACACATGTTGCAGTTGCGCAATCCAATCACATGAGACAACGAAAAGATCTCTAGACCACGCTGTTTTGCCATTGGGTTTTGTGTAATGTGCAACATGTCCCGTTGGACAACGAGATTCAAAAAACTAAGCAATCGATAGATTAACACTACACACACTACACATACACGCTCTTTCTCTTTTTTTTTTAGGTTTCTATCTACAAAACATTAATTAATACATGGCATGTTTATTTACGTGGTACAAATTTCTCGACGAAACAAAAGAGAAAAAAGTTACAGTACTGTGAACTTGTGAAATACGGAAGTCTCATTATGCAAATATGTGCGCGCGCACACACACAGAAGGAAATTGATCACTTCTGTGGGGAAATGTTCAATTAACAAATTTATCTTCCATATCATATTTGAAACGTCATAAAAGGGGTTTTGAAACATAACATAGAGTAATCTAAAACACAAAAGATACATGTTATTTATTGAATATAAAATCAACAAGGATTTTATATATATATATTTTTTTTTTATAAAAATCTAATTTTGTCAAGTTGTTGTTTAATCAAAAAAGTTCGAGGAATTATATACCACGTAATACTACCTACAATGTTACATGTGCATATACATGCACGAATTGCACAGATACAAATGATATTCACAGGTACAAATTATATATTAAAATTAAACAGAAATAACTTCTAACGACCAACATTTCTACGACGCTTTGCATAAATAGATACCTTGGGTGGTTTGCGTTTAGGCGGCGACTTCCTTTCCGGGTCGCTGCTAGACGAATCTTCTTGCGCAGCTTTGCTGGTATCGGTGGCGTGACCGTTTAACGACTCCTTGTTAGCCGGTTTCCGACCGCTCTTACCAGTGACTTTACTCTTGTTGATGCTATTCACAGCCATGCTACCGATATTCTGAATCGAGTTAACCGCGCTAGGTAGACAGGTGGTCGGCGCACTACTATTGTTCGACGACGTGCTGTTGCTGTCCTTGTTGTTCGTTTCACGAGAAATGTTCAAAGGTAACGTGACACAGGAAGCGCTGCCGCTCGTATCTTCGGTGCCGTCCGCGCACCTCGAGTGTCTCTGCAGCCACTGTTTCTTGAGCTTGTGCACCGGATAGCTAGTGCTGCTGGGCGGTCTTGGCGCTGGACTGTTGGACTTCTCGCTGTCCACGCTGGTGTTTACCTTGGCGGGCGTTCCAGGCGCGCTCGGTGCCGGACTAGGTGCCGTCGACGGCGCCGGGCTCGGTATTGGCGCCGGGCTCGGTGCCGCGCTGACCGGCGTTGGATTCAACGAGCATACGCTGCCGGTGCTAGCAGGTCGCACAGATCCGTCACCGCTGGCGGTTCTCGGCGTTGGACTCTCCGCCGTCACCGTGCGCTGCTCCTGCGTCTGATTGTTATTCGGTTGCGCCAACAACGCCGCGGTGTTCACGACGGTAGTGATAGATGTTGCGGCCGAAGCGATGAGTGGGCTTGGCTCGCTCACCCTGGACAGAACGGGCGGGCCAACGCATTGCAAAGACAACGGTTGTGGTTCTTCGGTTCTTCGTTTCTTACAAACTTCTAAAGATACGGGTTGATTGCCCATAGTGTCGGATAAAGGTGTTGGCGCTTTCCTCTTCGGTGAGCCCGATCTCTCCACAGGTCCAAGATCAAGCGGTTGCGTTTGGAAGGCCGTAGTGATCTGAGATTGCGTGTGCTGCTGCATCGTTTGGCTTGGTTGGTGAGGATTTGTATTGAGATGTGCCGAATGAGCAGGATGGGCTATTGACCTTGAGTGCGGCGCCGAGGTAGCCGTGGGCGGCGAGCTGTGCAGCGGCGGCGGCGGTAACGGCAGCTTCGCGCCCGGTAACGAGCCAGCGAAGCCAGCCCGACTATCATAGACAGACCGGCTACTGTGCGCAGGCGGCGGCAACGGCAGTGGCGTCGGCGGCGCCCCGTGATGATGAGGCACTTGCTGGTAAGGCGAACTGCCGGCCTTCGAAGTCAACGGTATCGGCGCTGCGACAGGCGGCTCCGAGGCACGGCACACTGGCGTACCGGTCATGATGCCGGAGTTAGGCTTGCCGTAGATGTGCGGTGGCGCCGGACTGCTGACTTTCGGTTTGGAGCCAGCCGGTGGCGGCGCAGCATAGTGAGACGACGCCGTTGGCGAGGCCGTGGGCGGATGCGAATGAGGATACGGATACGTGGACTTGGTTGGGCCGTACGCAATCGCGGGATCCGGCCTGCTGATATAACGCGGATCGGGTGGCGAGGGATGCGGTGGTGGTGGTGGTTGATGAGGATGCTGCGCCTGAGTGTGCGGGGATTGACGGGGATTGTGCGAGATTTGGACCGGCGCCGGCGCCGGCGCCGGAGGCGGCGGCGGTGGATGACCGTGCGAACTCGATAGTTGCGTTGTCGTCGTTGGCGCGCCACCGCTACTTCGATGATGACTCGCGGACGGCGGGATATTTTTTGCTGTCTGTAAACTGTCTAAATGTGTAGGATGTAGGTGCGGACTCTGCGTTGGACTCCTGTACTCGTACGACTTGTGCTGAGGCTGGACGTTCAGGTAAGACATTATTTTTGGGCTGGACGAGTGCTGCTGCACCGGTGCTTTTGGCAGCTCTCTGCCCTCATTCTTTACGATCACCGAACTTTTGTGGTCCGACAGCAAGGAGGGCGGATTTTGCAACACCTCTCTACCAGGATGGTGTTCCCTATCGAGGCCTCCGGAAAGTCCGCTCTTGCTCGATAGTGACTTGTCCGGCAATTTATTTCTCGTGAAGACATTTTCCTTCGACATGTATTGCGTCTGGGGCGTAATTTCTGCCAAATAGGGGATGGTAAACATGCTTACATTCGGCTCAGCTTTTGGCAACGAGCTGTGCGTCGAACCAACCACCGACGATTTCTCGTGGACGCCGACCGGCAGCGACGACTTCGACGTTCTTGAGTGCGCTGGCGGCGGATATTCCACTTTCCCGGGCACGCTCGAAGGTCGAGAAACCTACAACAAAAACAGAAAAAAAACAAATATCGATCCGTTCGGAAGCAGCGATTATACGATGTATCACTCGCGCTGACACAAAAACAACGTACCTGTTGAGCCGGCGGCGCAGTGGACGCGTAGTAGGCGGCCCTCTGCTGCGCGACGTGATCTCTAGCCTCGACTCGGTGCAGCCTTTCGGCCGCGGCCAGGTGTTGTTCTCGTTCACGCTCCCGTTCGCGCTGTTCCCGGACGTCTCGCTCCCGTTCACGTTCCAGAGCCTCCCGCTCCTCGCGTTCACGGTTGTGTTGCGCCACGGTCACAGGATGCGCGGCTCCACTCGTTACCGCGCCCGGCGGACCACCGGGATGGCCGTGATGACCGTGTGCCGTCAGTCCCGAATGCGGTGGCGGTGCCCCGTGCGTTCTTCCCGCCCCGGGCGGCGCCATCGCAAGGAAATTGTTCCATGGCATTGACGTCGACTGCATGCTCCTCTGCGGGACATAAGATATCTACTTCAATCAATACTGCCAATCACTTTCGCCACTTATCGCTACGAGATAACAATTTCTCATCGCTCGAGGGTGATGATGTAAAGAGAGAAAAAAAAACAAAACTCTTTCCTTTGCATATCTTTCTTCTAGACCTCGGTCACGTGACTGATCGTTATCGCGTCGTTTCGCTATCGAATGAAAGGAAAATTTTACGTTTGGAAATTAAGCCGGAGGAAAAATGAGATAACGCGTTGTTTTCCCGACGCGACCGGGAAAATATTAATTAAAGACATCGATTATATATTGAGTCTGTAAACGTAACAATTGTACAAACACACAACGCAGTTGTGAAACATAATAACTCCATGACTCATCTTTCCGCCGGCAATGTCAGCTTTATTCGATATTATTGAGTCCGAAGTTTGCTCGAGAATTCTTCGCAACGAAATGGAGTTTTTGCTGCGAGATGAGAAAAAAAAAGCAACGTTCGAAACGTAATAAAAATCCTTCCGTAATAGTTCGCTAGAAAAACCTTGAATGTAAATTTATGTTTATTGCACTTTGCATTTCTCGAACGTTTACGCGTACGTACACGACGACGCTTTAAAGTTAACGTTATCGTTATTGTCTGTTGTTATGCAGATCGACGCAGTCGAGACACGCAGACGAGTCACTCAATTGACGCAAATAACGAACACACAGAGACGCGCATGACACAGTGATGGCGTTATCTCGCTCGTGTGTGCAATAATTTACATTGTTCTTCTTTGAGGAACGAAAGAACGCGACAAAAAATACGTCGATCTTAGCGCCGTTTCAACTTTGCCTTTGTAGATTCGCGCACATGCGCCGTGCGCGTTATTACTTACACGGCACATACTCGCGAGTATTCGTAATCGCGTGATTTCAGAGTATCACGTTCCGATTGCATGGTCACCCCAAATTCTCTTTGCCAGACGTGTCTCATTAACATGAACGACAGACACACACACACACACACACACACACATGCTACCATCAGAGAGCTTTACGATGCGACGTTCCGATAAAGCGCGCTGCTACGTATATGATTGCCGGAGAACTTTTCCGCACAATACGTGTCGTCGATTGATTGCGGCGCTCGTGCGTGCCGTTTTTTTTTCTCACCCATCTCGATTCGCGTGCCGTAAACATCGAAATTAACGCCGAGCAAATATTAAAGCGCACAAAGAACAGTCTTTTCTCGCGAGATAATATTCGAAAGCCAAGCTGCCACAATGAGAGAAATTTCTCTTATTGGGGGGGGGGGGGGAATAATAACACAATTTATTATATTTTGGATTACGTGAAATATTTTTTAACATACGTTATAATTGGAATTAAATTTAATTCGAAAATCTTCATCATCGGAGATGTGCTCGGTTTGCATATCGTACGTAGAAACAATCTCTTTATCTCCTTGTGAGTTTAATTTGAGGAAAAAAAAATCATGGACCACAGTCGAAGGCGAGCTTTTTTCGTGTGGAAATAATTTAACAATTCATCAAGTTTGCGGAGAGAGATACCAAGTTCAACACAAAAGAAAGATAATCTTTCGTCAGATCGCACACCACTTTATTCACTGTGGAGAATCAATCGCGACCGCTTCAGTCCGCGTTTAACTGTCGACTGACATCCGAAATCCGATCTCTAACTTGCTTCGATAGTGAGTTATAATTTAAGATTTTCTTCACTCTTCGGCGCCACATTTCTCTTTCTACTACCAATATCGTTTCCACCCTCAGTTTGGGATTTTCTGACGCAGAATGTTACCGCTGGAGATGGAAACTCGTTTGGAATTTTTGATACCTGCGTAAGCCCCGCGCATTTTCCTACGAAACCTACGAAGAGAAAATGATGGGCTTTTAAGCGTCTAGCGGTGTAAGACACAGCAGGTTTGATCCTGTAACCTATAATTTACCTGAATAAGTGACTTATAATAACTGACATACCACAGTAAATTTAGATTTGGTATATCACTGACTTGTTCAATCTCCGATTCCTATCTATTGTCAAAACGATAATCGGTTTTTATTAAAAATAACACACGCGATATCGTGTGACAAAGCACAAAATTATTAAAGATCGATTAACATAGTATTTACATCAGTGTTACAAGGTTTTAAGTCAATTTTTTTTCTCAAAAAAAAACTAAGTCTTGCACGAACGAAATTCTGTCCTGCATTTTCGACTTGATTTCGCGTGAAGAATCACTGCCGCATCACGCACGCTCACATACACGTACGTACACACATCATATGCTTACGTAAAAATACACGTAATTCTTTTCTTTTCTAAATTACTCGAACAACCCGTTTGAACGCGAATTGGTCTCGTGTCGAGTCACAGTTCCATTGAAAGAAGTCCGGAGATCGATCGAGAGCAAAAGTTCGAGATAAACGAATTGAAACCCGTGCAAGCACCATCGCGAAAAGAGAGGCGGAAGATTTGTGTGATTAACGGTCGCGCGAGATTGCATTCAGACCGACTGACTTCGTTAACGCTCTACACCAGCCAGCGTGAGAGGCCTCGAAAGTACACTCTTCACGAAGTTACCGAACGAACTTCGACGTGTAACTAAGTAACTTTCCCGGGAGGATCAAACAAACAACTTCCGCTCGCTCTGCCGACGCTCGTCGATTAAACTCGAGGGAACTCGTTTCTGGAGCGAGACTGGAAGGTTGTAAATTAATGTAATCAAGTAACCCGTATGGCAAGTCACGAGATGAGAGAGACAGTTGCGCGTCGACCGTTTTCCATAGGATTTCGGAATACCGATAGAGATGTATCAGTTTAGCGTTGAAGTTATATACACCACACACGCCTCGCACGAAGCGTCAACAAAGCGTTTCGAATTCACCCCGACGAGTATTTCTCAAACAAAAACTTGAAACACACATGTCCAATTTTTCTCCGAATATTTTCCACGACGATTTTTCTCTGGCGAGTAAACACTTCAGTTTTTTTTTCTTTTTTTTTTTTTGTTTTTAACTTGTCAACCACGTCACTTCTCGCAGAAAAAGCGAAACTTGGAAATTTTTGTGTCGGGCGAGGATTGCGTCAAGGTCGTTTCAAGATCTCTCTCACGAGATATATAATTGAACAGGGCGCGTCTCCGCGGAGGATTTAACGAGGCCAAGAAGCTCACAAGCTGCAAATCTAATATTAGATGCGAAAGGGAAAAAAAAACAGTTTGCTATGCTAATCGAGACGCGACAAAATGTCAACCCACCTTCTGTGTGTTTACCTTGACGCGCGCTCGCGTCATCTCGCCTCGTGCGCGCATAAAGACGCGCACGTGTGCGCGCCGCGTCGCGTCATTTTACAAAAGAAGATGCAGCGAGCGCTACGCGCGCCACAAAAGCCCGCAAAGTCCTTGTTAAAAGCGCAAACGTATACATTATCAAGCTATGTATACATGAACATATACTCGTGTGAATCTAACACCGTTGTGACTCGCGTGTGTGTGTGTGTGTATCTCGCGAAGGTATATCGATCTAAAAAAAAAAAAAAAGCTCACACACAGAGCCGACGTCTCTTTTACGTAAGCGCACTAATAATAGTTATTTATAATGTTATTTATTTATAATAAAACGCGTAAAATCTCTCAAAATCGTAACTCTTGTAAAAAAAGGCACAATATATATACGTGACACATACTATAAAAAATATAAGAGATATTTTTACAAATATGTTATCACACTCTCTGATACAAGAGAGACACACATACACATACTCACACAACCACATGTCATGTATTTAAATATAACAAACGTGTAAAGGAAACTTAAAACACTTTATAATATTTCACTTTGCAGTCTATTATTTAATGACAAATTTATTGAATAATTCTCCCCTCGCGCGTCCACACGCGTTTGGCAAATGACAGGGATACACATAATAGCAATTTGGCTTGCTCTCTCTCTCTCTCTCTCTCTCTATCCGGAACGCCTCAACCTATACTCAAATACTACTACTACGCGGACATGTAGTGCTTCACGGTATAGTGCTGTGATACTTGAACACGCCACCGGCTGCGTGTCGTGCACAATGTAGGACGCGACACGAACGAATCGAGCATCGCCGACATCGGGGAAGAGGCGGAGGAGAGGACGCGGGAACGGAGAGGCATCAGGGAACGGAGACGGATTATGACCGATTGCACGTAATAAAAGCGGCGTGCCATTCAGAGTCAATCAAGTGCCGCTCGCTATTGGTTCGTTGACTTTCTCCTGCTCTGAACTCTCAACTCGCGCCGATTAACTTCTCACGCGAGCCGCGTGCTTTACACACACCAGCCGCCGGGCTCTATCCCGTTCGCATGACACGCGCGCGCGTTATTTATACAATTTATATTACACACGTACGAGAGATAATCGTTGTATTATTATTTTACAACGCGGCAATTTTCGTTATATTTCATTAGAAAAGATACACGTACACGAGGAAGAGAAAGATTTCGCAATCGCTCCGGGTCTCTCGTGTCCGGAATACGGAACGCTCGAGTCACGTTTTACCGTAAATGCTAATGTGTAATCCAAAGTAGAAATTGTGCCACGCGATAATTCACGCGCCAGTTTCGTGAAACATCAGCATTTATCCCGGTGTGTCCGGAATACACGATTAATTTCAAAAAATAAAAAAAAAAACAAAAAAACAAAAAAACAAAACCTCGCCAAACACATCGCGAGCGATTGTTCGATAGATATCGTCGCGAAGAGCCGTTATCGCTCGTTGAAAAATTGAAAACAAATCTAATCTGTCACAATGAGATCGATAAAAACAGATTGGCAAGTTTCTCGATTCGCCACAAAGAAGATTTTTCGCATTAAAATAGGCGCGCAAGATAACACAACCATGACAAGGACGAGCCTCGTAATAATAAAAAAAAAAAAAATTCTCGACGTTTTTTTTTATCGACGTTCGCCTATCTTATCGCCGATTTAAAAAGCACGCTGTGTAATAAAATCATAGTGTCAATATAAATATACGCATGCACG